ATGGTTCAGACGAAGTTGATTCCGGAAAAAATTCCTCAACAACACAGTTGTTAAGAGGGCTGAGGTTCGGATTTTGAACAACAGACTTTTGAGAGCTAGAGATCTGATTCAGGTCCAGGTTTATCAGAGGCGGAAATTGCATGGAATCGGGACTCTTGACAAATATGGGTTGAAACTCAGGAATCAAGGATATGAACTTGTCATTAGTGTCCAGAAGGGGTGACAAGGGAGAGACAGGTGCGTCTGAATGTTGATGGTTTAGAACGTCTCGCATAAAGGTTAGATTTTGCAAGTCCTTCAAGGGACTAGCTATTGGTTTCAGAAACTCACTTCCGAGACCATGAGTTTTTGACCAAGGATGACGAAAGTTATGAGTCATTCATTGATTCGATTCAAGAATGTCAATGGAATTATGCAAAGCATCTATCTTAGCATTGAGACATTTGTTATCAGAAATCAATACATTTCTTTCAGAATAGGTGATTTCACATTTCTCTTTCAAAATGATACATTCATCTTTTGACATTACAAGCTCATGCTCTAAAGACTCGATTTTCAATTTTTTATCCTCAAAACATAACCTAAGACGATTTAATTCATACTCCTTCTTCTCACTGGCTTCTATGGCGGACTCATAGGCTTTATAAATGGTGCTCATATCTATTTGGATCTAGGTCACATACAGATAAGGTTCAGAAAGAGACAGATCAAAATTATTATCAGTAATCATAGATTTTACCTGTTGAACGATGCTTCGACTAGGTGGATCGTTGGTGGCCATGTAGTAGTAGTGTGGTTCAGCAACATCATCTTCATCTTCACACCCAGAGGACCAATAGCCTTCATCACATTCAACAGATTGTCTTGCCATCAAGCACATGTTTCTTACAGTCACCATGTCATCATCATCTCCGGATGACCAATATCCTTCGACATCCCCTTGATACAATAGTTACGAAAGCTTTTTCACTCTCAGCCATCTCTTGAGCTCTTCGGTCGTAGTATGCAGTGTCCTTGATCTTTGGTTTTTGCGGAGCTTCAGCCAGTCAATCTTTTGCAAAGTGGTTTGCATGTCCACACTTGTGAAACACAATTTTTGGCTTGTCGGATTTTGGATTCTGCTATGGTTATGGAGTAGAGTTTGGCTTAGTAATGTTTGGTTTGTATGCGGGAGGATTTTTCGGAGTTGGTTGTGGTTTCGGAGCTGAGTATAGTTGAGGATTGTTTTGGTGAGGACGATGAAACCGATTTTGGTATGGTTTGTAAGAGGGATTGAAAGGACGTTTGTATTTCATGGAGAGTAGAGCAAACTCCTGTTGAAAACGGAGTTCAGAGTCCATGGCTTCGAAATCATCAATAGGATAGTTCTGTGTGGGTAAGACATGTAATGAGGACTGAACAGATGGAACAACGGGTTTGAAAAGGTCTGAGGTGGATGTGTTCGGAACGGTTGGTTCAAAGGAATTGACAAGAGCAAGAGGACCTCCGGAGAGTTCCCTTATAGTTTGAGTGACATTAGATTCATGTCCTTGAAGTTCATCAAAAAGTTGATAAAGCTTTAACTTTTTCAAAGAACCATTACTTTGGAGACAAGATTTCACATTTCCCCATCCTTTACCGAGACTGTTTATGAACTTGAGATTGTACTCCAAGGGAGTTCGGCCAATCCCATGAGCAGTCATGTTGTTGACTACGATTCGATAACGGTTAGAGGCTGAAGCCACTGATTCACCAGGAGTGGTAGTGAAGGTGTCAAAATCATTGACAACTGAGGTGACCCGCTTGTCTTTCATGTTTTCCGAACCTTGAATCAGGTCTTGGAGAGTGTCCCAAATCTCTTTTGCTGATTTACACAACTTAATATGTCCAAAGAGTGAGGGAGGAACACCAAACACCATTTCCGAGAAAGCAAGTTGATCAACATGCAGCTTCTCAATATCATCTGCAGTTAGAGGAGCTGGGAGAGTCTCATCTTGATCCATAAGCTGAGGAGCAGCATCTCTCACAACCGTTCTTACAGGAACATGAGGACCTTCTTTGACGGATCTCCAAATATCTTTACCTTTCTCTTTAGCCAGTAAAAATCTTTCCATTCTAACTTTCCAGTGATCATATTCTTCCACAACTAGCAGTGGGGCACGTGTAGGGCCACCCACACTATTTGCGATTTGCATTGAAATCATTTGTTGAGGATTAGAAGCAACCATTGAAGTTAAGATATCTTCAAGGAAAAGTGGTATATAGAAGAACTTTTATCCTTAACACAGAAATGGTTGAAATACCAAGGTAACTTCAAACCAACTATAATATGGTCTTATGGATTCAAAGGACAACCACTCAGGCTCTGATACCAATTGAGAGAACAAATTGATCTAATACGCAGGGATAAGGCTTGAAAACTCAAACCTTGAGTTAATACTTTAAGATCAATGTCTGCTTGCTAATGAATATTCCAGTCAAGTCTGGATAGACCAGTCAAGTCTGAGTTAATGCATTCAACAAATGTTCAATCCATAAATGAAGAATGAGAATTAAGATCAAAGTAGAGTTAATAAATGAAGTACAAAGAGAATGTTGTAAAGAGAGTGAAGTAAATGAGATATTGCTAAAAGGTTTTAACAAATCTGTCTATTGATTTAACATTGAATGCTCCTATAGATAGGAGTACAAGAAATATGGTACTAACTGATTACAAACATAGGACTGGATAAAAGAGTTACATCTGACACTCTGAATATCCGTGTTTGACAAATAAATCTAAGTCCTATGACTAGTTAAATAAAAAAAAATACATTTAATGCATAAAGACAAAATACAGATTCCGGAACAGTAAATATTCCGGACACAAGGTTCATTCCGGAATGCATTCACTCTCTTTCTTCACATCACCAACTTAACATCAGGTCCGGACACTAACAGATTCCGGAGCAGACTTCACTTCGGAACTACAGCTGACTTCGGAATTGACAAAAAGATTCAGGATTGCTAGAGGTTCACTTTCAGGTTCCAACAGTATTGTTCCGAGGGGCCATAGGTTGTGTCCCGTGACACCGACCAGTGGTCCACCTGTTGGAGGCTTTAATTCTTCCTTCCAGGACTCTGGTACTTGCCTTAAGGAATTTTCGTATAGGATATCCATGCTACTGCCATTATCTATGTAGACTCGGTGGATTTTTTTGTGACGTATGCACGCGGTTATGAGAAGAGTGTCCCTGGGATTCCAATCTTGCGGTCCCAGGTCTTCAATAGAGAACTTGATGTTGGTGATTTGTCGGGTCAGCGCTTTGATGATGTTGTTTGCCTCATGTCGCTCACGTTTCTTGCGTGGTCTGTTGATCGTAAGCACTCCGTCCTGCCGTTGTTATTTTTATGATGTCGGATTTTTGGTGACTAGAAAGGTAAGCAGCAGGCACCCTACGCTCGTCGCAAATTCCTTTACAGCGCTGGTCGGCCCAATGCTTGGCGCCAGGCGGCCAAGTCTGCTGGCTGACAACGTTTCTCAAGCGGGACCGGTTCTGTCATTTTGTCACGATGTAAGTCTTGTGTTTACAATCATAGACACGTATTGTTGTTTATCAGGTTGTGTCGTACTGGGTGCACGTCCGGATGGCGCCAACTGTTGTGACATGTCTCCGGCTTAACTACGTCTCTTTGAAGGATGGAATGAAGGGCCTGAGAATCACAACAAAGGAAACAAGATCGCCAGTCTTCGTCCGGGAGGCAGTCTCGGAACGAAGCTCCGATGACCGAGTTAGTTCGTCTCTTATAGAGAAGGTGAAAAAGTGTTTGGTAAGTGTTTAAGGGTTTTTTTCTCAATCCCTTCTCTTGGAGGTGATGGGACCTTTTTATACTTGTGGTCGGGGGGGGGGGGGGGGACAAATCCCCTATAGTATCTTTTACCTTTTCAGGTTTGGCAGGGATAGACGGCCTTCGATTGGTAGATCGTGCTCCGCGAGTGGTCGTTTGCCATTGGTGCATGTTTCCCAGGAGCAACGTTCTGAGCGCTACACATGTCGCTCTGAGTGGCGATTAGTACTATTTTGTCTTGACACTAGCTTTGGCGCTAAGGAATGAATATGGGATTCCGAAAGTGAGGGCGAGAGCAAGGACCCGACATTAGGCATACACCGCTCCTTTCCCAAACCGTCTATCAGACTGACGGTTCCACTATATTTGACGTATTCCTAGTAGGATACATTAACACTCTTGTACTCTTTACAGACGAAATACGATCCAATCAGATCTTTTTTACACGATGTGGTCTTTCTGTTTTCTTTAATTTATTACGTATTCGTTACTCGATTCTAACTCACATCAATTGGTATCAGAGCAGGATTCATTCAATCAATTTCAATTTTCTCGTGTTTTTCATATTTTTTGAATTGCTCTTTCCGATTCAAAGTTTTCCACAATATTGAATCAGAAAAAATGTTTCAATTGATTGTTTTGTTTCGATTCTACACTATGTTTGTTAGATCGAGTGATTATCGGTCTATTTTTGTTTTCTTTAATTGATTACGTATTCGTTACTCGATTCTAACTCACATCAATTGGTATCAAAGCATGATTCATTCAATCAATTTCAGTTTTCTCGTGTTTTTCATATTTTTTGAATCCCTCTTTCCGATTCAAAGTTTTCCGCAATACTGAATCAGAAAACTTGTTTCAATTGATTGTTTTGTTTTGATTATGCACTTTGTTTGTTAGATCGAGTGATTACTGGTCTATTTCTGTTAGGTTCTCCTTTCAGATCTCTTTTTGAATCTAAAATCTCCTTTTTCCGTACAACAATGGTGAACTTTAACATGAACATGATGTCGAGTTTCTCACACTTGTTTGGATCATCTACTAAGATTTCAATGCTCATTCATGGATACTACGAGCAGTGGAAAGGTTGGAGGTTCATTCAAAATGCTTTGAGTACAAAATTCAGAAGCTTCGTGATGGTGCCAAGGAGCGTCATGATATTTTCGTTGAATAAGTAACAAAGATGAAAGAGTATGTGGATCTTAAGGTGGTGGAACTCAAGTCAGAGATGGCTAAAGAAGTTGAAAATATGGAAAAAAAAATATATTGTGTTGCATAGCAAAGTTGATGTTGTTGTTGATATTATCAAAAAGCTGGTTGATTTTAATACTAATTATTCGAACAAGCTGGAAGCAAAATCGGAGAAGGATTCTCAAGTGTTCGCAAAGCTGGAAGAATTTCAGTTCAGTATTAAGGAGTCAATTTCGAAAGCTTCTCTTTCAAATCAATCCTCTGTTTCTCAAGAGTCAAGTTCTCAATTGATTTCAACCATTGAGACTAATATAAAAGCAGAGCTTGCTCTCATCATTGAGTTGGTTCTTCGATTACCAATGAATATTCCACATGCTAGATAAGTGTCAGAAGGGGCATATAAAGGATGTGGAGGTGTTTGGACTTCGAAGGATTCTGAGAAAGGAGCTATTGTTGGAAAAGTTATTTCGACTAAAATACCGACTTCACTTCCTATTTTCACTGAACATAACTTCAACAACAACAACAACAACAACAAGACCAATAACGAAAGGGATCATAATAAACGAAGGAGCTGGAGGTTCAAGTTCGAGTTATGTGCCACCACCTTCGAAAGATAATCAAGGTGATAAGGGAAAAGCTATCTCAGTGGTTCCTTTAGAAGAAGAGAAAAAGAAACAACAAGCTCTGGAGATGGAAAAGCAAAGGCAAATAAAAAACATAATGAGGCGAAGACAAAATGACCCACCTGGATTGAATAAGGGTGATCCCAACAAGCAGTGGTGTTATGAAACGATAGAGGAGATTGTTTTGATTGGGCTGAATAACTATTTTTACAAAGTGCCTAAGAAGAGCTATGATGTTAAGAACACTGATTTCAATCGGCTTGACTTTCGAGTAAGGTTAGTCTATTATCTTGAGAAACTTTATTAATCGGAAAGTTTTGGAAACAACTTAAAGATCTTCATGTCAACATTTGACCGAGGTGTAGTTCTTAGGCTGGAGGTCCGGGTGTCACTACCCCTTCCTTTGGTTACACCAATTGCCAGTTATTTTACAAATAAAAGTGGTACAGGTGCATCCCCACTACTTTCTATGGTCCTTCTTAGGTCATGCTTAGCTTGCCCAGTGGCTCCGAGCGGCTAGCCTCGTTCTTTCTCAGCACCCATTCTCCTATTTTAAAGTTCTTTACCCACACCCGTTTGTTGTAAAAGTTTTCTGTACGAGATTTGTAGGCTGCTTGTCGCAGTCGAGCAGCTTGACGTTTCTCGTCTAGCATGTCTAGGTCATGCTGTCGCTCTGCCTCATTCGAGCCTTCATCGAAACAGGTTACCCGCAGTGATTCAATCGGAATCTCGAGTGGGAGCACCGCTTCCGTTCTGTATGTAAGGCTGAAGGGTGTCTCTCCAGTCCCTGAGCTGTAGTATCGTATGACCACAGTGAAGGGTTTTGAGCACTCTAACAACCTTATGGTGCACATGCAACCCTAGATGCTTTGGATCTATGTTTGATCTAGTTATACATGCAATTTGTTTTTCCAAATCACACATCCTAACTAGCGTACAATTTGACAATTAAATTATATAACTAGTTAGATATCTTACCTCTTAATAGGACTTGTAGTTCTTGGCCTTCAAAAGCTTTAGCACCTCAAGTGTGATGCCTCTAATGTGTCACAAACACCAAGTGACAAAAGAGGCTTGAGAGAATAAGTTGTTTAGCACAAAAATTGGTTCACACTCTCCAAGAATGTATGTGGCAACCTATTTTAGCTATAGGGAGTTCCTTTTATAGTGTGACAAGTGCTAGGGTTACATGCATGCAAACCCTAATGTGCCATGACTCTCCATATTACTTAGGCTCCAAGGGTTGAACCTCCATTGACTATGCATGTTGGTTTAGCCCATCCTAAATAACCATGGATCATTGGCCCACACAATAAGAATCATTGATTTACCAAATCAGTCCCCATATATTTAATTAGTCTCTTTTGATCACTAAATTAATTCCAAATTAATTATTGATCAATACTAATTAAATAATATGATTTCATATTAATATATTATACTTGTAATATATTCACAAATCACAAATAACCTTATTCTCAAAAGTCCATCCAATCAAATTGCATTGATGAAGGTAACCCAAAACGACCATGCTACTCTCGGGTCAAGTACATACCAATTATAGTTATGGGCTTAGACACCTAATCCAACAGTCTCCCACTTGGATAAGTCTAATAACTATAACTGCAAGTACGACTTAAAATCCGACTAGCAATCGTAGTTCTTAAAAGCCGCTGTCGAACTCTGACCCAGTCAGTGACGCGTCCTTTAGATAAGGGATCATATAATCCTCTGGTCTTCAAGATATAAGCCGGACAAATACAGGAACAATGTCATACTTATTGTCCGGCAGTTTGTTTCTCGATTTCCGATTTGTTTGACAGAGAACTTAATTGAACACATCAATTTAGTCCCTACCTGGCCTGACACATAAGTCACAACAAAATCATCGAGGGGCCCAATATATCGCTTTTAATCCTCCAAGAATTAAAAGGAACAGATAAACTTCGACATTATATGCTTGTACTAACTATTCGTCAAATCATACACAACAATGCGTTTTATAACATCAAGTTACTGATGCGTTTTCACACTATCAATGTACAATCAACTCATAGTCAACAACTCATATATCTTGGTTTGAAGACTTATATGATATTATCATCTAACGATCACTCGTGATAAATTCCTTGAAGTGATTCATGTGAGCGTGGGTTTAATCCAATACTCAAACCTTATGAGCACTCATGAATGTTGTAGCAATCTCTTGCTATGTCTAAAACACTTCAAGCAATCTACAAGCCAAATTCATGACAGTGTTGCCTCAATACCTACTTCCAAAGTATGATCGACTGTGGATAGTTTGAATAATATAATTATTCTGGAAGTCAAAACATGCAAAATGAAACAATAGTAAACAATTGACATAAGATAGTAACTTTACTCATAAATAAAACACCTATTCTTTAATCATCAAATGTCAATTACATTTTATCTATTACATGTTTCTAAATGGCTATCTAATCATTAAAACTAATATCATCCTTCAGCCCAATGCTCCTCGCATGCTGCAAATGCTTAACCCTACTCAGTCCCTTCGTGAGGGGATCTGCTGGGTTCTCATCTAATGATACCCTCTTTACCACGAGGAGTCCTTCTTCCACCCGATGTCTTATGAAGTGATATTTCCTGTCGATGTGCCTGGATCTGCCATGATCCCTTGGTTCCTTGGTTAAGGCAAGCGCACCTTCTGTCACAGAAAAATCTCCATAGGCTCCTTTATAGCTGGTACAACTCCAAGGTCTCCGATGAAGGTCCTCAGCCATATCGCCTCCTTCAACGCTTTACTTGCTGCTATGTACTGTGATTTGCACGTTAAATCAGCTACAGTCTCCTGTTTGGAACTTTTCCAAGTTATTGCTCCTCCATTCAGGGTAAAAACCCAGCCCGACTGAGAGCGGAAATTATCTTTGTCGGTCTGAAAGCTGACGTCACTATACCCTGTGACTCTTAAGTCATCACTCCCACCAAGAGTAAGGACCCAGTCCTTAGTCCTGCGTAGGTACTTAAGAATATTCTTTACCGCAGTCCAATGAGCTTTACCAGGATTCCCTTGATATCTGCTGACCATGCTCAAAGCAAAGGCCACATCAGGGCGAGTACAAGTCATAGCATACATGATCGAGCCAACTGCGGAAGCATATGGTACTCGACTCATTTTAGCTATCTCAGCCTCTGTACTCGGACTCTGAGTCTTACTCAGTTTGGTATTGCCTTGGATGGGTAAGTCACCTTTCTTGGAATTCTCCAATGTGAATCGTTTCAACACCTTGTCCAAGTAGGTACTCTGACTAAGTCTAATTAGTCTTTTACTCCTGTTTCTCAATATCCTTATCCCTAGGATGTAAGCAGCTTCTCCAAGGTCCTTCATAGCGAAACACTTCCCAAGCAAGGACTTAACCTCCTGCAAGGTTGGAATGTCATTTCCTATGAGTAGTATGTCATCCACTTTCAACACCAAAAAGCTAACTGTACTCCCACTAGCCTTGACATACACACATGACTCATCCTCGCTTCTCGAAAATCCAAACTCTTTGACTTTCTCATCGAAACAAAGATTCCATCTGCGAATGCTTGTTTCAATCCATAAATGAATTTCTCAAGCTTACACACTCTATTAGGGTACTTTGCATTGACAATACCTTCTGGCTGACTCATGTAAACATCTTCAGCTAACTTCCCATTAAGGAAAGCGGTTTTGACATCCATTTGCCATATGTCATAGTCAAGAAATGCAGCTATGGATAACATAACCCTAATAGATTTAATCTTCGCCACTGGTGATAAGGTCTCATCATAGTCAACTTCATGAGTTTGAGTAAAGCCCTTCGCAACCAGTCATGCCTTATATGTGTGTACTTTCCCATCCATGTCGGTCTTCTTCTTGAAGATCCATTTGCACCAGACTGTCTTACGGGTACATTGTCAACCAAGTTCCAAACTTGATTGTCATACATGGACTGAATCTCGCTGTCCATAGCCTCTTTCCACATTGCAGACGCGGGACCTGCCATGGCTTCCTTGTAAATGTTAGGTTTATCTAAATTTACTAGTGTGCTATCACTGATAAATGTATCACCCTCAAATGTTATATGGTAACCATATAACACAGGTGGAACACTAACTCTACTGGAGCGCCTTAGAGGTACGGACTTGTCAACTGGTTCAACAGGAGTTTCCTCCTCAGGTTGATCTCTAGTGTTTCAGGTTCCTTTACCGCTTGACTCTTGAATCTCTTCAAGTTTAATTTGCCTCCCACTGTCCCCTTGGCCTATGAGTTCTCTCTCGCGAAATACTCCTCTCCTTGCAACAAAGACAACATTGTCACTCGGTCTATAGAAGAGATATCCAAAGGATTTCTGTGGGTAGACAATGAAAATACACCGCTCACTACGAGGTTCGAGCTTGTCGTGAGTCTCGCGTCTCACGAATGCCTCGCAACCCCAAACTTTGATGTGTGCTAACGAGGAAACCTTCCATGTCCATATCTCGTGAGGTGTTTTGGCAACCTTCTTAGTTGGGACTAGATTAAGGATATGGGCGACAATCTCTAAGGCATACCCCCAGAATGATATGGGTAACGAAGCTCGACTCATCATGGAACGAACCATGTCCAACAAGGTTCAATTGCGCCTCTCAGCCACACCATTAAGCTGCGGTGTCCTAGGTGGCGTCAATTGTGAAACAATCCCACATTCCTTAAGATAGTCTTGGAACTCGATACTAAGATACTCACCACCCCGATCGGATCGGAGCAT